CCTTGGTGAACACAGATGCAGAAAGTCGCAACTCAATACGATTCCTTGCTTCCTTTCGGGATTATGCCTAGGCATATGTGAGACCTGAATGGATCTCTTAAATCTATTTTCCATTTCTCCCTCTCCCTCTCCCCCTCCATGCCCCCGCCCTTCTGAGCTACATTTCAGGCAACTCTTTCTGATATATCTGCTAGTTCATCATTTCTCTTTGGAGCTGTGTTTAATCTGTTCATCTTGGTGCTTATTCTAATCACAAGAGTTTTTTAGGTGCCCGGGCTCTAGTTGGGGTATAGAGAAGTAACTGTGGCTGGTGGTGTGGAGGGGGCTAGTGGTTCCTGCTGCCTCTCCGGCACTCACACCCCGTGTCTGAGGCTTCACTGACCCCTTCCCCACCACGGTTGTGAGGTCCAACCCAGGTCCATGGAGAATCGCTTTCCTTCCCACACTGAGTACCCCACCCCACCCACCAGTCCCATGTCTTTTCAACCCAATCCATTTGGACACAGAATGCGAGACTGATTGTTCTCTTTGTTTTGGGGCCACGCCCAGGAATGCTAACAACTTACTTATGACTCTGCTCCCAGGGATCACTTCTGGCAGGACCTGAGGTACCCCATGCAGTGCCAGGGATCTAATCCAGGTCAGCCGTGTGCAAGGCAAGCGCCCTCCCTTCTGCACCATCACTCCAGCCCCTAATCACTGGAGTTTTAATTGCCAAATCTTACTGGGATTAAAAAAAAAAACAGATTACTTTTTAATAATAGCACAGCCAGTAGGGTGTTTGCCTTGCACACGGCTGACCCGGGTTCGATTCCTCTGCCCTTCTCGGAGAGCCCGGTAAGCTACTGAGAGTATCCTGCCCGCATGGCAAAGCCTGGCAAGCTACCCGTAATGTATTCGATATGCTAAACACAGTAACAACAAGTCTTACAATTTGTTGTGAGACATTACTAGTGCCTGCTTGAGCAAATCAATGAACAACGGGAGGACAGTGCTATTATTTTGACAATTCTTCAATTCCATATGTATATATAATATGCTTGGGCTGGAGCGATAGTATAGTGGGTAGGGTGTTTGCCTTGCATGTGGCCAACCCGGCTGACCTGGGTTTGATTCCTCCGCCCCTCTCAGAGAGCCCGGCAAGCTACCAAGAATATCTTGCCTGCATAGCAAAACCTGACAAGCTACCTGTGACATATTGGATATGCCAAACACAGTAACAACAAGTTTCACAGCAGAGACGTTACTGGGCCCGCTCGAACAAATAATGTGCTAATTTTAGCTGTTCTTTCCCCTTTGTGTTGTTGTGGTGGTGGTTTTGGGGGGATCCATCTGGGCCACATGGACCATACCTAGTACTCAGGGATCATGATGTGCTGAAGACTGAACTCAAGGCCTCACAACACAGGCCCATGCTTTGTGATTTGGACCATATAGGGATTGTTCGAAATGAATCATGTTTTGGGGAATTATTTGAGATCTGAGATGAATTTCTACAGGCAGAATTTGTACTTATTTCTGACAGGTGTCTGGAGTCATTATCAATGGAGGAATTTGAAATGGTCTTCTCAGTGTTTTAGGATCCCCTAGACAGTGGGGTTCAGCCCGCAAGCCTCCATGAACACCGGCTGTATGTATTCACCTCATTTCTCCCACCAGGGTTGTGCCTACCCTTTGATTTTCTCCTCATCGCTCTGGCCTCTGACTAGAGTTTGGTGACTGCACTCTCTATTTGGTTTTCGTACCACACCTGACTGCTCAGGAAACCGTATTGGGGAGGGGGGACAAGGGTCAAACCGGGGTTGACGATGTGCAAGGCCAGTTTCCTGCCTGCTATTCTCTCTCTGGTGCCTTAGTGACTTCCTTTATTTGTTTTATTACTAGTTATTTTTTATGTAGGAGTACTTCTATTTATTCAGCCACTGATTAGCTGAATGAATTGTGCATGAATTCCACCTTACTTTTTTTCATTTTTTATAATTTTATTTATTGAATCACTGTGAGAGCAGTTACAAAGCTTTCGGGTCTAAGTCTCAGTCATACAATGAAACACCCGTACCTTCACCAGTGCCCATTCTCCACCCCCAACAACCCCAGTAGACCCCCATCCCACACCCTCCCCCTACCTGTGGGGCAGATGATTTCCACATTACTCTCTCTCTACTTTGATCACATTCAATATTTTGACACCAGATCCACCATTATTATTTGAGATTTCACCCCAACACTCAGAACTGCTGAACAGGCAACGGTAGACAATTTGTGTTCTATTGCTGGTTACGAATAACATATGATGTCGCGTGGCTGCAGTAGGGCCATGTGATTTTGAAATTCCAAAATTTTAACACTTAAATCTGGAGGGATTTCTGCCAAAAGCCACCGGGTTTCGAGATTTGCTCCTGAGTCTCTGGGATCATGGTCGTTGAGCAGCTTGATCAGGAGCCAGAGAGGCCCTTCGTGGGCGATGACTTGGGGTCTCGTTGGGATGGGGAGACCAGGACCGGCTCCACCCCCATCCTGTGAGACCCAACAAGTTTCATCACTGCGGGCCCAAACCTGACTGTCCAATGGCCTCTGGAGGATGACGGCCACTGAGCTGCCAAGGGGGAGCAGGTGGAGTGACAACATCCTTTCCTCCCTGGGGTGGCCCGGTGACAGTAACGTACTGTGGGGTCCGGACGCATTTCTGCCAAAAGCCACTGGGTTCCGAGATTTGTTTCTGAGTCTCTTGGATCATGGCCATTAAGCAGCTTGATCAGGAGCCAGAGAGGCCATTCGTGGGCGATGACTTGGGGTCTCATTGGGGTGGGGAGGACAGGACCGGCTCCACCCCCAGCCTGTGAGGCCCTGAGTGTCTTGTCACCGGGGGCCCAAGCCTGACTGTCCAGTGGCCTCTGGAGGATGGCAGCCACCGGGCTGCCAGGGGGAACAGGCCAAGACACAAAACCTATTCCCACCTGGGTTGGCCCAGCACCGGTAACCTACTGCAGGGACTGGACGCATTTCTTCCAAAAGCCACTGGGTTTCGAGATTTGTTTCTGAGTCTCTGGAGCTTTTTTGGTTTTTAAAAAAAATCATTATTTTAATTTTTTTATTTTTTCAAAGCTGTTCATGATTGGATTTCAGTCATATAGTATTCCAACCTGCATCCCTCCACCAGTGTATGTTTCCCAGCACCAGTGTCCCCAGGTTCCCTCCCATCACCCCCACACCCCACCCCCTGCCTGCCTCTATGGCAGGTGATGTTCTTCTCTCTCTCTCTCTCTCTCTCTCTCTCTCTCTCTCTTCCTCCCTTTCTCTCTCTCTCCCTCCTCCTTTTGCGCATTATGGTTTGCAATATTGATGCTGAAAGGTTATCCAGAATACCCCTTTACTACTTTGAACCGTCAGATCTTGTCCAGCATGATAATTCTCAGCTATTATTGTCCCTGGTGACTACCTTTAGTGTTGCATACCTTGGGCGTGCCAGGAAGAGCCAACAGATAACTGTGTTGGGTCAGCCCGGGGTGGGGGGTGGTGGTGGTGGGGACTCAGGACAGAAGGGCACCTTGAAACTTGCATATGCAGCTAAACCACTGCCTGAGGATTTCTTGTCTCCACCGGAATCCATGGGACTTACAAGGAGACCCCCACCTGATAGCCCCTGGACAACCCTTATGAGACCAAAATCGGACCAGTTAGGACCTGACCGTGAGTTCCTTCCCTGCCCCGCTGTAGTTCCCTATAAATCCAACCCCAAAACGCAGGGTGACTTCACGAGCCTCTTTAGAGACGTGTGAACATTGCTCGGGAGTTCTTCGTTAAACCCTCCTCTTGCTCTCTGTTTTTCCCTTTCTGCGAGCCTGTTTCTGGACCTTTCAAGCTGTTCCTACCAGGTCTTGCTTGTTGGGTTGGCCTCAGTTGTCTCCTTGAAGTTTGACATTTGGAATATTCCCACGCTGTTAAGGTTGTTCTGAGTTCCACTCTATTGAGCCCTCTATGATTTCACTCAGACTCTCTGTACGAATAAGCCGATTTCAGGAAATATGCTTTCCTTCTGAAGCCTCACGCTGCAGAGACCCTATGTGGCCAGCCCCAGCAGAAACTCTGGATTCTGAGTCCCAAACACAGGGCTGAAATCCTGCACGTAGGTTCCCCTGTGCGTCCTTCCTGGTGGGAGACTTGGAAGCCGGAGTCGGCTGGTGAGTCTCTCCCGCTTGCTGGTACTTTGGGGTGGCCCTTTGCTGTAACAAGCCAAAGCTTCCAGAGAGTTCCTGGTCATCCTGATCAGGCGTCAAGTCTCAGGTCTCTGAACCCTTACTCCTACTTCTCTGATGGTCTTTGAGGAGTTCTCGCCTTTTCTCTCTTTTCAAAATTATCTTTTTTTTGGGGGGGTCAGGATTTGGGCCACACCTAGTGGTGTTTAAGGAACTGCTCCCAGCTCTGCTTGGTGGTGGCTCCAGATTTTCTGGGAGTGCCTTGGGGTGGGGGTGGGGGTGCTTATCGTGGGGGAGGATTGAACTGGGGTGGCCACATGCAAGGCAAGCACCTTAACCCATCTACTATTTTGTTCTCTACGCCCTCCCTCATTTTCTTGATAGCTTCACCACCAATTAAAAAAAAATACAAAAAACAAAAACCCATGATTCCTATTTTACCAGGCAGTTTCAGGTATCCCCGGCCCAGCCCTGCCCAGTGATTCAGAGTTTACAGTTTACCATTTTATGGACGGTCTTGTTTTCATAAAAGATGACTTCTAAAGCCGATTGCATCTTTGTCCTCGTATTTAAAAAATGATTTTAAAAAAAAACCTTCCAGTCTCTAGAAAGCGCTTGTCCTCTTAGCTCTCACCTACAGGGGGCGGCCGAGAGTCTCTTCTGCCTTTAGCCTTCAGACCCTGCATCTGAACCCAGCCCCAGGGTCAGCAACTCCCACCCAGAGAGGAGGTGGGGGACCACAGGAGCAGGACGGCCTCCTGCCTTCCCAGCCGAGAGCACTTCCCTGGAATAACGAAACGGGAGGACGGAGGCAGCAGCGTGAGTTTATTATTGGCATCACTCAGGGGCCCAAAGCTGGCAGGGCGGTGACTGTGAGCAGGGGTGACAGGTGTCCTTCAGCAGGGAAGCAGTGGCCGTGGGACAGGCCTCGGGGCTGCTGGACTGCCTCTTGCCCGCTCTGGTTCTCCATCCAGAAGTCAGGACCCAGGATGCTCAGCCTGGCAGTGCTCCCGGCCAGCCCTCGAAGCAGAGCGTCTAGATGCCGTTCCCTGTCAGCAGTTTCTTCTGGTCCTTTTTCTAAAGGGGACGGGGTGGGGAGAAGGGGACAGCCCGATGGGGTGCCCAGAAGGCCGCTTCTCTCCTCCAGGGCACCGCGGCGCTGGACCAAGTGGATCCAGCACCATCAGCCTCAAGCGGGACCTTCTGCTTTTTTTTTTTTTTTTGGCTTTTTTTTTTGAGCCACACCCGGGCATTGCACAGGGGTTACTCCTGGCTCTGCACTCAGGAATCACTCCTGGTAGTGCTCGGGGGACCATATGGGATGCTGGGAATCGAACCCGGGTCGGTCGCGTGCAAGGCAAATGCCCTACCCACTGGGCTATCACTCCAGCCCCAACCTTCTGCTTCTTGAGGATGCTTTAGTCCTCGGGGCCACCCTCGAGGACCCTCCCCGCCTCCCCCGGACAACCCCGCTCCCTTAAACACACAGACGCTCGCTCAGGCCCTCACCTTCTTGGAAATGCAGGTTGTCCAGAAGAACAGAGCCAGCGGGGTCAGGGATGTGATGATCAGTAGCACCCAGAAGGCGAAGAGGGTGGCATGGAGGCTTATGGCCATGGCCTGGGGGCAGAGAACCAGAGTCGTGAGCGCCAGAGGGCTGGTCCCCACTCAGCACCCCAACACTGGCTCACTCCTAAGACCACGGCTTCTGGAGCGGGGTGCTGAGGAAGGAAGGAAAGGGTCCTGGCGCGGGGGGGGGATCAGCAGGACTTGGTGCAGAACGCACCCCGTAAGCCCTCCCACTGGACTTGGGGTCCTCGTGGGAATTGACCATGACTTGGTTCCCTGACAAGCCCAAGGCTTGCGAGGATCAAGGGGGGTGATGCCTTAACTGCCTCGCCAGCCAGCACCCCAAGTGACGGTCTCTTCCGTTCCCCTCTCTGACAGCGGGGGGCTGTCGCAGGCTTGGTGAGGGGCAGAACCCCCCACTCCCCACTACCCTCAGAAAGCGTGCGTAGGATTCACACTGGTCCTTCCTCTGGGTCTCCTCGGGGCTGGGAGTGGTGGGGGCGCGGGTGGGCCAGTCATCGCTGGAGACGTCGCAGATGCTGTCTCCGTCATAGGGGTAATTGAAGTCGTGGAAATTATTAGTTAACATCACAATGGCGATCACGGCAGTGGTGAAAACCCCCACGATGAGCAAGGTCTTCAGGAAGGCCTAGAGGGCAGGAGACGGGCAGGGAAGCGGAGGGGTCGGCGTCTGCAGGAGCCCAGGTCGGGGCCGGGAGCAGACACCCTTCCCTTGGGGCCAGAGGGTCCATGGGTCACGATGGTGGGCTGCCCGTCCTCAGACTCACCCAGAAGATGCCGCGTTGCTTCTCGTAGATGAAAGCCACGGCCCCAGCCAGCACAGCCTGGGGAGAGACGGCAGGGGCAGGCTTAGCCCAGCCCACTCTGCCCCACTGCCCTGTGTGCAGTCCCACTGTGTGCAGACCCACTGTAGAGCCCCACTGTGTATAGTCCCCCTGGGTGCGGGTATACTGTGTATAGGCCTACTATGTGTGGCCCCACTGTGTGAGGTCCGACTATGTGCAGGTTCATTGTGTGCTGCCCCACTGTGTGCAGTCTCACTGTGTGCAGCCCCACTGTGTGCGGCCCCACTGTGTGAGGTCCCACTATGTGCAGGTTAACTGTGTGCTGCCCCGCTGTGTGCAATCTCACTGTGTGCAGTTTCACTGAGTGCAGCCCCATGGTGTGCAGCCCCATTGCGTATCGTCCCGCCCTGTGAAGGCTCACTGTGTATGGCCTCATGCTGTTTAGCCCCACTGTGTGCAGCCCTACTGCGTGCAGCCACCGTGTGTGGCCACGGTGTGCAGCCCTACTGTGTGCATCCCCACTGTGCGCAGCTCCACTTTGTATAGTCCCCCTTGCGTATGGTCCCATTGTGTGCAAAGGCACTCTGTGCAGGCCCACTGTGCGCGGGGGCTGTTGAGGCGCTGCCTGCAAACTCCCCCTAGAGGTGAGCCCGCCCTGAGTCCTTGCTTGCTACTTGCTCTGGGAGGCGGGGGCTGGTGGGAGAAGCCCTGGGCAGGAAGTGGGAGCCCACAGGGGCTTTGCCTGCACCCGCCCCACTGACCCTGTTGCAGCAGGGGCCGGCCCCGGGCTGCAGGCTCCCTCCCTCTGTAAGGGCCTCTGCCGCCGAGCCATGGGGGCGGCTCCCCAGCCCCCTCTTGGTCGGTCGGCACCCGTCTCACTCACCATGGTTGGCATCTTTCCCGCTTACCACTCACCCACGGTCGTCACCCGTCCCACTCACCCACGGTCGGCACCCGTCCCACTCACCCACGGTCGGCACCCGTCCCACTCACCACGCCGCCGGTCCAGAAGGCCGCTCCGGAGTAGCGCACGCTGGAGTACTGGCAGAGGTAGAGGACTCCTCCCAGGAGGCAGGCCAGTACCCCCAGCACGATCTGCATCACCTGCAAGACCAGGAGCTAAGACCCAGCTCGGACCCGGCCCTGCTCGGGAGCGCCTGCGGGCCAGGGGGCTGTGAGAATCTCACGCATGAGCAAGAGAGAAAGAAACAAGGAGGTGAGGAGCAGAGGGCCGCGGGATGGGGGGCAGTGGTGAGGGGAAGGGGGGCGGCCGGTGCTGGGATGGGGCAGGGGCAGGGGAGGGGTCGGCCCAGGGCTGTGGGACCCTCCCCCTGCCCTCCTGCCCCCGCAGATGGCTTTCCCTGGGGCATGAGGCAGGAGAAGCAGAGACGAGCCCGAGCCCGGCGTCCTGTTTGGAGGGGGCTTCCCAGCGCGGGCCGGGGCAGGGGCAGCCCTGCTCACCCAGGAGGCCGCCAGCAGCCGGGCCCCGCGGGTGGGGGCGGCCGGCCGGGGTGCCTGCAGGCGGGCGATGAGGCCCTTCAGCAGCTGGGCCAGGAAGGACTCCTGATGGATGTGCACGTCGATGCTTGAGGGCTGGGGGCCCCCGGGGGCCACCTCGCAGGCGCCCTCAGCCGCGTCCATGCCCGCAGTCATCCCTCTGCACGGAGGAGAGGCTGGTGGTGCTTCAGGGAGGATGGGGTCAAAGAGGGGTCACAGACCGTCATGTCCTCCTTCCCTTCCGCCCCCCCCCCCGCCGCACCTCCCACTGTCTGTGGGTTTCCAATCAGGACCCCGAGACTCTGCACTCCAGATGGGCCCCCTTGCTACCCCCACCTCCCCCTCAGCCCCCAGAACCCGGATTAGGGGCCAGAAGCACTACAGAGGCATCAGTGGGGCTTCTGCTGAGGCCACTGCAGGACCGGGGTCACCCATCCGCCCCCCCTCAGCCCCCTCTCCACCAGCCACCCCGAAAGGCTCGTCCAGGTCGCCCCATTCCCGTCCAGAGAAGAATCGGGCTGTGTCCAGGTCAGAGGCCAAAGGGCAGAGGCCCAGGTAACAGAGTCGGTCCCCCCGGCACCCCAAAAGTCATTGTCTTGGGGGGTGGCTGAGACCCTTCTCACAGAGCAGGGGGCTTGAGGCCTTGGGGTCCCGGGGGGGGCCCCCTGAATGGGCCCCGGCTGGGGCTGTCTCACCTGCTATCCTGAGGCCTGGGTAAATCTGTGGGGGTCAGTGTGTGCGGCCACGGGCTGGGTTGGGCTGCCGGAGAGGAGGGAAGCACTGGGGAGTGGCCAGCGCGGCTGCTGCCAAGGGGCCCCGCCAGGGCTTTCCTGAGAGCTGGCCTTGGGCTGGGCCACTTGGCTGGGCCTGGGGGACCCTGGAGGCTCCTCCCCACCCCCTCCCCGCCTGGGAGTCCCGGGTAAGTGTTTGTGCTGTGAGCACAGTGGGGGACGTGAGTGTGCGTGTGCTGGAGTGCGTGTGTGTGTGTGTGTGTGTGTGCGTGCGTGTGTGAGTGTGTGTTTGTGTGTGTAGCTGGTGTTTGCTCTGCTTCTGCTCGGCTGCTTCCACGGAACCCCCCAGGAGGGGCCCCTTGGCCCAGTGCGGCTCTTTTCCGGGAGTTGGGTGCTGAGGGCGTCACTCCACCCTTCCCTCTGGTCTTCCTCCCGCAGGGTCAGCCCCTCCCAGCCCACTCTGCTTCTGGGGGTTCCTCCAGGACACAGGTGAGCCGGTCCTGGGCCCCTGGCGTGGATCCGCGGGGCCGGTCCCCACCGGGGCTGGTTTCCGGGGGTCTCGTGAGAGAGGGAGGTGAGCTGGACAGGGGCCTCCCGGGGTGGAGGGGTTGAGTCCCCACCTTTCTCCCTTCTTCTGGGACCCTGGGAGGAACCGGGCAGAGGACAGTGGCCACGGCTGAGTGCAGGAGCCTGATGCCCGGGGGTCGTGAAATGGACTTTTCAGGGCATGGCTTGGAGGCAGAGCAGGGGGCAAGTGGGGGGCCACCGGGGGCACCCGGTGGTGCCAAGGAGGCTCAAGGAAGATGGAGCCCAGAGCACATCCCTGGCCGCAAGGTCCTCTGGGTCGGGCAGAGCAGACCGGAATTGGACTGAACCCTTGTGTGTGCGTGTGTGTGTGCATGTGTGTGCGTGTGTGTGTGCATGTGTATGAGTGCGTGTGCATGCGTGTGTGCGTGCGTGTGTGTGCGGGTGTGAGTGTGAGACTTGTGCACCCACAGAGTTTGCCACAGAGTTTTCTAACACAAAGGTGCAGAGCACTGTGGAAGGCAGAGTCCAGCTCCGAGGTGGCCGCTGCTGGGGACCGGTCAGCAGGGCAGGGTTCGAGCAGGCTTCTCTGATGCTGGCCAGCTGGCTCTGTTGTGGCAGGGAGGCTGTCCCCTGTGTGCAGGAGAGGGACAGTGGTGGCTGTGTCTGTGTGGGGGGAGCTGTTGCCTGTTGCTTTGCTTGAGGCTGGGCTGGGAGGGCGGGGGGGGGGGGTGGATGACTCAACAGACTCACGGCGGTGGGAGGGGGTGTACAGAAAAGACCTAGGTTCCTGTGGGGGCCATGCGGGCCCAGGGGAGCCTTGGGGGATCATATTTCTTCTCGTCTGCAACCTGAGGAAATCAGTCTGCCTCTGGGAAGGGTCCAAGGGCCTCTGAGCTGGAAGTTCTCGGGGTGACTTGGGATTGGGGTGCAGTGCCGGACAAGCCCTGGACACCTCCCCTCTTCGCCTGGGTGGGCAGCGTCCTCCTTTCTGTCCTGACCCCGCCCATCTCCTCCCTGTAGGCAGGATGGCCCAGAGCACCGTGTCTGTGACCGGGCTGGACACGGCCACCACCCAGTCGATGCCCGCACACATCAACATCCACGTGCACCAGGAGTCGGCCCTGGCCCAGCTGGTGAAGGCGGGCAGTGCCCTGAAGCAGTTCTTCTCCTGGCCCTCTGGCAACCGCATCGGCTATGGGCAGCTGGCCCTGGGGGTGAGTGCCCCGAGACAGGGGTCAGTGATGGCGTGTGAGAGGCCAGCGGTGATGCAAATCCCACGAGAATTGGGATTTCTATCCAGCTGGCCCCCAGGAGATGTGGGGGTAGGGGAAAGGTGGGGGTCCTCTTGGGGGTGCGTGTCCCAGTGGCTTGAGTGTCACCCACGTTCTCTTCAGAAGGACCCGGGAAAGTCGACTCACAGAGTTACAGGGTGCACAGGGTGGGGTCGCTGACAGAACAGCATCGGGCCTACCAGAGTGGAGAAGGCGGGCGGCTAGGAGGACAGAGTGGGAGAGGGAAGGGAAGGAACTTGGGGTTCAGAGAACAGCAGGAGCGAGCCACAGAGGGCTGGAGGGGGCGGATGAGTCCAGCAGAGACCCAGAGTGATTCAGGCCGAGAGGTTTGGGGAAGCATCCCCGGGCCTGGTACCCCGAGTCTTCGTGGGGTTGGGGATCCCGCCTCAGCTCTGACCAGTAGCCAGGTGAGGAGTCTGAGCTGGACCCCGGTGTCGGGCCCAGGGCCAGGACTGCACGGCACAGGGGCAGGTCTGCGCTGAACCCACCGGGGAGGATTCTCGAGGCTTGGGGAGACAGAGGGGAGGCAGCCCAGGACATGGGGGGGACAAGGACCTGGAGCTCTGGACGTCGGGAGAGGCTGTGTGGACCCCCGATCCTAACACCTGTGACCACAGCTGCGAAGAGGGAGTGACCCCAAAGAGCTGGTCACTGGTGGCTGTCATTGACCCAAACCCCTTTCTGGAAGTGGGGGGGGGGGGTCTTTATGCACCTCCTGACCAGGGCGTGGGGTTCCCCAGGGAGACGTGGGACCACCAGGCAGGTCGATGGAGAGACACATGGCAGGGGGAGAGCCAGGCCTTGCTGCTTTTAGGATGCCGAGGGGGCAGAAGCTTCCAGAAGCAGAGCACCAGCAGGGAGGAGCCGGCAGGCTGTCGTGGAGACACCCCCCACCCCCCACGACCAGCCCTGATGTTCTTTCTCCCTTTCCTGATCTGGGCGCCGCGACTTCCAGTCCTGCTCTGCCGGGATCTCGGGCGGCCAACTTGACTCTCATCCTGTGTTGCAGGTGGCCCAGATTCTGCTGGGGCTTCTGAGCTGTGCCCTGGGGGCCTTTCTCTACTTGGGGCCCTGGACCTCTCTCCGTGCCTCAGGCTGCGCCTTCTGGGCCGGCGCCTTGGTAAGGAAGGGGGGCCGGGTGGGGAGAGGGGAACCAGAGTTCCTTAGGATCTGGGTCAAGGATTGGAGAAAGAGACCAAAGATCCAGAATCTGATGTCGGGGTGGAGGGAGGAGAGGGGGTTGCTGCCTTTAGAGCCACAGGGCCACCGGGGTCTTTCTGCAAGTCCAGAGGGTGCCAGCCCCCCTCCTGCTCCCTGTTCTCCGTGAAGGCTGGGCATTGGGCGAGGGGTCCCCTGGAGCTCTGTCCCCCAGGCATCACGGGGCAGGGACCCGGGGATGCTTCCCGGTGTTTCTCTTCCTAGACCATTGCCGCGGGAGCTGGGGTCATCGTTCATGAGAAGCATCCAGGCAAATGCTCGGTGAGTGCTGGCCCCGCCCTGTACCCCTCGTTCTCAGCCCCTGCCCTGCTCCGTATCTGGGGGGCACTCTTGGGGGGAGGTGGGGGGGGAGCAGGCAGGTTGGAGAGGGCGTGTGCAAGCTCCTCCCTTCCCCCCACAGCTCTTCCTGGCCTCTCTGCTCACTGTGTTGGGCGTGATGGCCACGGTGCTGGCCGTGGTCCTCTGCGTGCGCAGCCTGGCCGGGGAGCACGGCTTGCACACGGAGTCCATGTGCGAGCAGCCGGAGCCGGAACCCTCTTTCACCACCACCCCCCCATGGGGATGGCACCGGCGGCGCTACCATGCGGACAACGGGAAGTGGAAAGTGCAGAGATGCAAGGAATTTATGAAGATGGTGGTGGTGAGGACGACCCCCTGCCCCGTGGCCCAAAGCATCCGGGCCCTGGAGGGCAGGCGTGGGGTCGGGTGGGGGCCTCTCAGAGCCCAGCCTCATCCTAGGTCTTGGATTCAGGAGCTTGGCGCTTAAGCAGAGGCATTTCTCAGGGCACCCACATGAGTCCCTGAATCCCGAAGGCAGAAGCGCTCAGAGGAGCTGCCCTGAGAGGGTGTTCTGGGGTGACCGTCCCTGTCCTGGCCGCTTACCCCAAGTCACCACCATCATCCTTACTGTCATTATTACTCTCTGGGTTTCGGGATATGTCCGCTGGTGCCCAGGGCCCCTTCCTGGCTCTGTGCTAACCCCCCTATGGCCATGTCCAAGATTGAACCTGGGAGCCAGGCACACCAGGCAAGCGCCCTCCCCCGGTGCTGTCTCTCGGGCCCTGCAACTCAGCGTGAGGGACTCCTCGTGGGGGCCCAGGCGGGCAGATCTGGTAGTCAGATGGCTCTTGGGATAATAATGGGCTCGGCTGGGCCTCATGTCCAGGGTGGGTCCTGGCGGAAGGCTCCTGGCTGGGAGCTCAGCGGGGACTCTGGACAGGGGCTTCTCATGTATCCCGTCCAGCTGGTTTCCGGTGAGCGTTTGGGGGTTGAAGAGTCCCTTGTCTTGGCAGAGTGTCACTTCCCAAGGGTCAGGGGTCGATACAGACTCTAGGGGCTGGGCCACAGGGCTGGAGCATGGAGCCGAGCGTGGCCTGGAGAGCAGGTGCTGGGGGAACTGTGTCATGGGCTGAGGAGGGTAGTGGGGCAGGAGAGCAGGTGCTGGGGGAACTGTGTCAAGGGCTGAGGAGGGGAGCGGGGCAGGAGAGCAGACACCAAGGCCATCTCTTCTCTCCCTTCGTCTCCAGAACATGTTCATCGGGATCCAGGCGCTGATCCTGGCCATCTGTGTGCTGCAGGCCATCGGGCACGGGGTCTCCCTGGGCCTGGTGATTCGAAGCACCTGCGCCAGGAGCTCCCTGTCCCTGGTGAGTGCCATGGCTGGTGGGGTGCCAGGGAAAGGGGGTGTGGCTGGGGAGGCCTGGGCTGGATCCCGGAGTTCAGGGGCTCCCTGCTCTGCTTCCCTGGGGAGTGTCTTCTTTCTTTTTCTTTTTGGGTCACACCCGGAAATGCTCAGGGGTTCCTCCTGGCTCTGCACTCAGGAATCACTCCTGGCGGTGCTCAGGGGAACCCTGTGGGATGCTGGGAATTGAACCCGGGTCTGCCGCGTGCAAGGCAAATGCCCTCTCTGCCGCACTATCGTCCCAGCCCTGGGAGTGTCTTCTTGTGCCCCCGTCGGCCAGCACCCTCTGTTCCTCTCCTGTCCCCTCCTCTCTACCCTGGGTCTTTGTCTAGCTCTCCTTCACTGTGCCCCCTCCTGATGTCTGATTCTGTGAGGCTAACTCTCCTTCACTGTGCCCCCTCCCGATGTCTGATTCTGTGAGGCTAACTAGGTTCCACCCTCCCGTGGTCCAAGGATTGACCATCACCTGTTGTGTCCCCTGCCCAGGACCAGGAAGAGCTGGAGAGGAGGCTCCTGGGGCAGAATTCCGCGCCCCCCTCCCCTTGCAAGGAGAAGATCGTCCTGTGAGGCTGACAGGGAGCTCGCCTGCCGCCCGCCCCTGCCTGAGAGGGAACCCGGACTCTCCCAGGCCCTGCACTGCCCGCCCTGCCCCCGGTCACCCCCCTGCCTGCTCCCCCACCAGCCTCCCTCACTGAGCTCAGCCCTCCCATCAGGCATTGCTGTATTACCCCGGAGACCGAATAAATAGGACAGCGACAGCCGCGAGAAGCAGCTGGCGCAGAAGAGAGCTGGTGTTCCTCTGTTCCTGTGCACTGTGCCATGGGGGATTTCTCGGCGTCAGTGCCTCTGGCTTATGAGAGCTGACATAGCCCAGGGGAGGCAGGCTGGGAGGCTGAGGCCCCCGCCCAGTGGAAGCGCAGACCCTCCAGAGATTTCCTTCTGCGCGTTGTAAAGTGAAATACTGCAGGGATAATACGGAATACATCATACATGATACGATGCGGATAATATGGAGTAAATAATACATAATACAGCAGGAATAATACAGAATGCATAATATGGGCCTAGAGCGATAGCACAGCGGGTAGGGCGTTTGCTTTGCAAGTGGCTGACCCGGGTTCGATTCCTTCGCCCCTCTTGGAGAACCGGGCAAGCCATGGAGAGTATCTCACCCGCACGGCAAAGCCTGGCAAGCTACCCGTGACATATTCAATATGCCAAACACAGTAACAACAAGTCTCACAATTTGTTGTGAGACGTTACTGGTGCCCGCTCGAGCAAGTCGATGAACAATGGGAGGACAGTGCTACAGTGCTACATAGTATATGATACAGTGGGGATGATACAGAGACATAATATGGCGGGGATAATATGGAATGCATAATACATAATAGAGCGGGGATAACGCAGAATGCATAATACGTAACAGTGAGTGCCTGCCTCTCACGCAACTGACTGGGGTTTGATCCCTGCTACCCCATAGCGTCCCCCGAGTCTGCTAGGAGTGATACCCAAGTGCAGAGCCAGGAGTAAGTCCTGAGCACTGCTGTGTGTGGCCCTCAAACAAACAACCTCCCCCACCACTCCGCCCGCCAAACAACACAAAAGCCAATGTACGGTGAAAGTCACTCTCAGGCGTAGGATGGCGCACCTAACCTAGTTACCCCCTCTTTATCGGGGTGCTGTGATTTACAGTACTGTCATGATAGTGTCATGCGTGCTTTGTCCCAACACCGCACCTACTGCCAGTGTTGCTGCTTCCCTTTACCAGAGTCCCAAAGACCCCTCCCTCTCAAATCCACACCCCCCCAAGCACCCCCAAACTCAGCTCTGTGGGCCCGTTTTCCACTTCTGCTACCTTTGGCCATTTGTTGTTTCCTTACAGTGTGTCTTTATATATTGCATATGTCCGTTCCCTTTGGGCTGACTTCATTCAGCATGGTCCTTTCTTGTTCCATCCATTTAGTAGCAAATTGCCTGGCTTTTATCTTTTATTATGCTGCATAGTATTCCACTGTGTATATATCACCACAACTTCTTGATCTTTTCATCTGTAGTTGGACATTCAGGTTGTTTCCCTATCTTGACTTGAACTGCAGTGAACAGGGGAAGACATAACAATGGCTAACGGGCACGTGAAAAAGTGCTCGTTGTCTCTTATTACTCGGGAAACACAAATTCAAACCACAATGAGACGTCATCTCACACCAGTGAGAATGGCACATATGAAAATTCTGGAAATGATCAGTGTTGGCAAGGATGTGGTAGAAAGGAATCCTTTTCCACTGTTGGCTGGAGTGATAGCACAGCGGTAGGGCATTCGCCTTACAAGCGGCCAACATGACCGACCCGAGTTCGATTCCTCCACCCCTCTCGGAAAGCCCGGCAAGCTACCGAGAGTATTCGATATGCCAGACACAGTAACAACAAAGTCTCCAATGGAGACGTTACTGGGCCCGCTCGAGCAAATCGACGATCAACGGGAGGGCCGCTCGAGCCGCTGGGTGAGAATATTGTCTGGTTCAACCTCTTTGGAGAGCAATATGGAGATTTCTAAAAAAAAATCAAGACTAGATCTAACCTTGTCTTCAAGCTTCCTGAACTTTGATCCATGAAATTTACATGACTACATGGAGCAAGAGCTTCCACCCTCCCACCCTCCCTCCCTCCCTCCCTCCTTCCCTCCCTCCCTCCCTCCCTCCTTTCCTCCCTCCCTCCCTCTCTCCCTCTCTTCCCTCTAGTAATCAATGCTATTTTTCTCTAGACATGCATCTGTTACAGTCACTTTTGTCAGACATGACAGAATTAGCCTTTTCATTCTTTATTTTCCTTTGATTTTTTTTTTTGCCCACACCTGCCATTACTTAGGTATAACTCCTAGCTCTGTGCTTAGGGATCACTCCTTGTGGCTTGGGGCATTGTAGGGGTGCCAGGGATCAAACCCCAGTAGGCTGCATGCAAGGTAAATAACCTGTCAACTGGACTACGCTCTGGCCAATCTTCCATCATTTTCGGGATGTCTATATAAACATATAAGAAATATACATTGATGTATGTATCTTATTAGGCAAGAAAACAAGTCATGGCTTCTAGATTCTGGAAGCAGAAGGGATTCTTTCTGCCTTTCAATAGTGATTGTGGCTTCCACACAGTGAGCAGATTCACATCCTCAAGTTTTTAGGAAGACCTCTCTCTGCAGGAGGTTTTACCCCTGAGCAGCCCTGCAGGGAAGAACCAGGCTGCATGTCTAAGTAAAAACGCTGAGAGTCTATCTCGACCCACCAGTGGAAGCTTCTGGAGAGTTGAGTTGCCGAAGTCTGTCACCTTCTGGCCCCCGAGGATGGCTCTGTCTCTCCGGGGCCCCTGTCTGGCTTTCTTCTGAGAGATCCGGAAGGAAACTGTGATTACAGGCTACAGACATGACACAGAGGTCTGCTCAGAGCATCGGTCAGGGCTGAGGAAACCACAGTCTGTAGGCCAAATCTGTCTGTGCCCGTGTTTGTGAATAAAGTCAGAGTGAAACAACTCTGTGCCCCTGGGGCTGAGCTGAGTTGAATAGTCTTAGTGGAGGCTGAATAACCCCCAAAGATAAGAGTGTTTGATTGCTGGTGCTTTGTGTAGAGGCCTGCAGTTCCCTGGAGCAGGGGTCCACAGTGCAGGGGGTGGTGAGGTGCTGGATGAGAAGGCGGGGGACTTCCTGGGGAGCCAAGCTCTGGAGGAAGAGGTTCGTGGCAGAGGTGCAGCCAGGTGGGTGCTGCAGATGACAAGGGAGCTTCTGAGTGACTTCATCTTCCAGAGAGAAGCTTGGATGCTCCCGCGGGGTGAGATGTGGCTGGACCTTGCCCTGGTAGGGTGGCAGGAGCAGCCGGATGTGGTTGTGGAGCAAACGGGAAGCGGAGATGAGGCCCTTGGAGCCTCCTTAAAGCCCAAGTGAGCGTCTCCGCATTTCCTAGATTCTGATGTGAGGAAAACGTGGGCCAGAGCCCCAGCAATCCGCAGCTCCCAGTAAAGATCACGACAATCACGACCATCCTGTTGTTGGCCGATTGCCTCGAGTAGGCCCCAGTAACGTCTCCTTTGTCCTAGCCCTGAGATTTTTTAAAAAGTGCCATATTAAAAGCTCTTCTAGGGTTAGGAGAATGAGACCCATCATTGTTACTGGTGTTTGGCATATTGGATATGCCACGGGGAGTTTGCCAGACTCTGCCATGTGGGCAGGTTACATTCGGTAGCCTACCAGGTTGTCCAAAGTAAGAATGAGATAATAAGCGCGAATACGGCTGGGTGCTTCTGGGAGCTGGGTTTTAGAGTCTCTGGGTCTTGCCCGTTGATGGGATTACACGGCGCCAGGGGCCAGTTGGTGGGTGTGGCCCCTGCCTACTGGAATTTGGAGGATCTGGGTGGAGGATGCTCAGCCCTGATTCGAGCAGCTTGGAGATCTCAGCCCCGGGACCCGCATGCCTTTATTCCTCTGCCGGTACCTTCATGCGTGTGGAGGGTGGTCTCAGCATGGTGGTGGCTGTAAAGAAAGTAAAGAAAGAATTAGATTGTTAATTTTTTTGCTTTTGCTTTTTTGAGTCACACCCTGCGCTGGGCCAGGGTCTTTCTCTATGGCACCAGGGATTTAACCTGGCTCCGACAAGCAAAGTGTATGCTTGGTCCTCTGAGTCATGTCCCTAGGGTCCAGGAATAAAATCCCAAAGGAATTTAGACCCCTCTGAATTCCAGCTTTTACTTTGCCCCCAGCAATGAAGGTGGTAGGGGGTTCCCCATTTCTTGCTGAACAGGTGAATGCAAACATAGACATTTTGGGAGAAGTCAGGTTGGGGGTGTCCACACAGACCCTCAGAGCAGGGCCAGCCACGGTGTCCCATGGGCAGGCATCTAAGAGACAAATCCTCCGAGACACAGTCTCTGCTTCTGGTTGTCCCGAATCTGGCTCTCAATGCCCTGGCTTTTCAAGAACGTTTGTCCCTGCACGTGGGCAGTTTGGGGACAGCGTCCCTGCAGCAGAAGGAGGCGCGTCTGTGGCCGATTAGGCAAGATTCAGGTTCATTACACCGAGGCGGGGGGGGGGGAGGATGCTGGTACATTGGCCACTGAAGCTGACCTGCTCTTGGACTCAGGGGTTGGTGGCCTCTACCCACATCCCTGAAATCCTCCTGGGTTCCCCTGGGAACCCGCAGAAAGGCGAGTTTCTGACTCTCTCTTGTTCCCAATGGTTGTGTCCTGTTGCGTGTGGCCCTTTATGGCATGCGTGGAGCAGCTGTGGTCCAGACCCAGTGAAAGAATCCATATTAGGGCATCAAATTTTTGTGTACTTCAGCTAACTTGCAACATTGCTTTCTGTAAAACTGCTTGGCTGCTTTGCACCTGGGGGAAAGGGGACTTGGAAAGTGAACAGGGCATAACTTCTTTCTAAACCAAGTGTGACAGGATTCAGGTGTATTTACTGTTCCTGAAATGTATTGTCTCAGTAAAGCACCCTGCAGATTTGGGTAAAGGATAACTCAGGATGCGGTGGTTGGGGGAAATTGCCCTTTCCTGGAGTGTATTGTCTCACTAAAGCACCCTGCAGACTTGGGTAACTCAAAACGAGGATGGTCAAGGGAGATTACCTAAGGCTTAATGATTCCCACTATAACCTTGCTTGTGCTGACAATCGATGTAAGTAAATGCTGATCTTTGAATCTATAGGCTAAGGAGTGAGGTACTTTTGAATGGATTGGTTGGGAAAGTATATGTTGTTACAAATCTATTGGCTATGAGGCACGTGGGCTTTGCTGT